GAATGGAACTTTACAAAAATGTTTGTGACGCAGTCGTTAGAGGGGATACAATGGCAGAATCTGTTGGGAAGCGCATTATATTACCTTCAAGTTTTACAGGAAGCCCAAGATACATGATACAAAATTATCAAGATGCAATGGCAATTTGTAGAAGTTTGGGATATCCTGATCTATTCATCACTTTCACATCAAACGGAAAATGGCCTGAGATCAAATACATGCTCAACGAGATACCTGGTCAAAACATTGAAAATTGACCTGACATTGAAGCATGAGTTTTCAAATTAAAGCTTCAACAGCTAATGAAAGACATCACAGAAAAGAAAGCGTTTGGTACAGTTATTGGAGGTATGATCTAAGTGCACTCATATACATCAATTTAATACCATATACTATAAATGATTAATCAAAATTTATATTTTTTAACAGTCATGCACATGATTGAGTTCCAAAAAAGAGGATGCCCACATGCACATATACTACTTTGGTTGGATCCAAAAAATAAAATTACAAGCCCAGAAGACATAGACAAATTTGTCTCAGCAGAAATACCATGCAAGGAAACAGATCAAGAAGCATATGCAGCTGTGTCACAATTTATGATGCATGGACCATGTGGAGTTGCAAACAAACGTTCTCCATGCATGGTGGATGGTCGTTGCAATAAAAGATTTTCAAAAAGATTTTATGACCAAACAACAATAGATGAAGAAGGATTCCCAATTTATCAAAGAAGGGATGATAACAGAACTGTTAAAAAAGGTGGCATCTTGCTTGACAACAGGTATGTGGTTCTCAATAATAATGATTTATTATTAGAGTAATAAGCACATATAAAATTCAAAGTTTCAAATATCTTAAGCATTATAAATTTACTATCCAAGTATATGACTAACAATGATTCCATTTTATGTGAAAATAGGTATGTAGTTCCTTACAACAAATATTTGCTACTTAGATATCAAGCACATATAAACATTGAAGTTTGTAATAAGTCGAAGGCTATAAAGTACCTGTTCAAGTATATAACTAAAGGCCTAAATAGAAGTACGATTGTGATAGAAGATAATGTCTTCATCAACAAGGACAAAATTACAGAAAATGAAGTTGTCAAAACAGCTCTAGTTGATGAAATCAAGCAATACTTGGACTGTCGATATGTCTCAGGATGTGAAGCTTGTTGGAGAATCTTCCACTTTGATATACATTACAGAAATCCGTCAGTCATGCGATTGTTTTTCCACTTAAAAGATGAGCAAAAGATGATATTAAGAGATTCTCAAAGTTAACCAAGGCCATCGAACAAGAAGGGGTCAAAGACACTATGTTCACCAAATGGATGGAAATGAATGTAGGAAACAAGGAGGCTAGATCATTGACATATGCAGAATTCCCAACAAAATTTGTTTGGAATGGAAAAGAATGGACTAAAAGAAAGAGAGGTCGAACAATTGGAAAAATTACATATGCACACCCTACATCAGGAGAAAGATATTACTTGCGTATTCTATTAAATGTTGTTCGAGGACCTCGCACCTATGAGGAGCTCAAAAATGTGAATGGCACACAACACACAACATTCAAGCAGGCATGCTATGCTTTTGGATTAATTATGACAACAAAGAATGGAATGATGCAATTGATGAAGCGAGACATTGGGCGATTGGACCCCAACTAAGAGAATTGTTCATTACAATTCTACTTTTCTGTGAAGTAAATGACCCAATCCAATTTTGGGAAGTCAATTGGAAAACACTTTCAGAGGACATACCATTCAAATTGGTACATCAATTCAATTTCCCAAATTTGAAATTCACAGAAGACCAAATCAAGAACTATTGTCTGTTGGAGCTTGAAAGAATGCTAAATCGCAGTTGTAAATCATTGTCTGATTATAATGGCATGCCATTACCAAACATGAATCTTTTATTTGGAGCAGATAATAGGCTGATCAAAGAAGAGCTCAATTATGACATTAGGAAGATGAAAGCAGATGATGATAACTTTTACATCTCATTAAATAACCAGCAGAGAAAGCTATACCACAGAATACTTGATGCAGTGGAGCAAAAGGAAGGAGACATCTTCTTTGTTTATGGACATGGAGGAACAGGAAAGATATTTTTGTACAAAACAATACTATCAAGACTGAGATTTGAGAGAAAAATAGCTTTGGCCGTGGCTTCGTCAGGTTTGGACAAAATATTAAATTATTTTCTTCAAT